CAAAGAAATTCAGCCAAAGAAAATGCAAATAAAAGTTCAAAACAAAAAAACCAACTCTAAAATTCATAAAACACAAAATATCATATTCTCTTAAATATGCCTCTATGATATCTCTCTGATAAAAGTTGGCTGTACTAGAGAAAATGAAAATAGGTGTTGGTGACCGGCAGATTCTGGGTCTATGATGAATCAGAGAAGGATGGTTTTCACTGTTTTACATTTTTTTAATGCCTGATGTTGACTTGGTAGAAAGATGATAATAAAGAGATTCTTCTGTCTATGTGTTTTAGATTACTCATGTTGACTGAAGAAAAAAAATTAAATTTGTTAAAGAAAGTGAGTTTGATTTAGGATTGACTGAGGACAATAGCCTGGAAGCAGTTCTGACAGACGGCTGCTATGCAGTATTTTGGTTTACAGTTTATAAGAGACAAGCGGGCCCTGTGCTCTATCTTGTTTTTTCTTCAAAGCATATTTCTGGAGAGCACAGAGTCCCAGAGTCAGGAATGTTATAAAGTCAGGCTGGAAACCAGAAATAAGTAACATGACTAAACATTTGTATGTTTTTTTGTTTTGTTCTGAGACGGAGTCTCGCTCCATTGCCCAGGCTGGAGTGCAGTGGTGCAATCTCGGCTCTACTGGAACCTCAGCCTCTTTGATACAAACGATTCTAATGCCTCAGCCTCCCAAGTGGCTGAGATTACAGGTATGCACTACCACACCCGGCTAATTTTTGTATTTTTAGTAGAAATGGGATTTCACCATGTTGGCCACGCTGGTCTCCAACTCCTGATGTCAGGTGATCCACCCACCTTGGCCTCCCAAAGTGCTGGGATTACAGGCTTGAGCCACAGCGCCCGGCCACTACTGCCTCACTGTCATGCAGTTAAATAATCTTAGACGCTTCCTCCTCGACTTTATACATACACACCGGAGGAGGGCTCTGCTCCTGTGTTATTCTGGCAGTGGGGTTGAGGATGTTTGTCTCATGGAAACTGGTGATGTGAGAAGCAGGTGAATAGCCTGCAGGGGGCAGCAGAGACCAACGCCAGGGACTGGACGCTGAGGCCAGTATGGATCCTGCCAAGGAGGGATGTGGAGCTCTCCTGGATGCTTCCTGGGCAGCCGCCCTCCTGCAGGTGGCTTGCAGCTGCTCAGAGCAGATCCAGAAAGAGTGTGGGTTCTGACACGCTGCAGCGCCCTGGAAAGCAGGAGACCCACGTGCAGGTGCACTTCAGGGGTTTTGTCTTTCTGCGGCTGTACATCTGGAATCTGGGGCCGTTTTCAGGAGCAGTGCTTTGGGTTTGACATGCAAAGGGTCCCTGGGGTCAGGCTAATTTGCATATCTGAAGAAAATCTGAAGATCAAGTTCAGGGAAAGAACTGTTTGGGACCTCTCCTGGAGAAGGGGCTTATGAAGTTCACAGTTTATTTAGGTCAGAAGCTTAAAATCACCAAGTGAGAGTTTTCTGCCGATGAAGATGAAGGTCTGGAAGGAGGGAGCGTTTCCACACTGTGAGGTGGGGTGAGATATGTGAAAGCCTTGGCCATGTCTCATCCCTAATTCCGTGCTCCTGAAGGACAACTGCCCCTCCTTCCTGGTGCAGTCGTGTCTGGCCTAGTCTGGGCACCCCTTCCTGCTCTGAGGTCAGCAGATCGCTCCATTGGACACTGAGTCTGGAATTTCCTGCACACACTTAGGACCCTGTGCAGGACGAGGAAGCACTGACAGCCCATTTAATGAGGAAGAAGACAGTGCCCTGTCTAAAATCAGGAGCAAATTTGGCTGAAAAAATATCCAATGATCAGGGCTCAAGGAGAGAGTTGTCCCTTAGAGAGAAGCTATGGCTAGAACTGATCAGTTGGGCTCCGCAGGGCCCGTTACCCAGGGCTTGTGCCGTCACTCAGTTCTGAGGGGGCGGGGCCTTGCACCTTGCCCAATCAGAAGCGCTGGGGCAGGGCCTGGCCAACTGTCCATCCGGAAGGAGGAGGCCCATTCCGGCTTCCACTTTTGATGCTCTGCAGATTGTTGTCGGGATACTAGATTTCCTACTCGGAGAGGCCCGGGTCCCTTCGCCACTTCTGTCTCTCTGCCGCCTGCACTGTGACCTGCACTATTCACGGGAGCCCTAGAGAGGACCCCAGGACACCCGGAAGCCGGGAAATGGTGAGTGTGTGGGGCCGGAGTCCCCAGACGGGGGAGGGGCTGGGTGAAACCGGCCTGAAGCGGCTGTGGCGGAACCCGGGTCTCCTCATGGCGCCTCCCGCATCTGGGACCGGAATCCCTCTGTCTCAGCCTGTCCCTCCGTCCCCTGGGCCGCAGGGTGCGGCTGGGCCGGCAGCCAGGACCCCGGGCATCCTGTCCTGTTCGTGCGCGGGTGACTGTGGGTCCTGGCCCCGGAGCCCTCTCTGGGCAGCTCCGCGCCCACAGCCCCCGATTCTGCGGGGACCACGGGAGGGTCATGGGGGAATCCCGCGGGGTTTTTTTTCTGTTAAAAGTTAAAGAGTTTGGGCCGGGCGCGGTGGCCCACGCCTGTAGTCCCGGCACTTTGGGAGGCCGAGGTGGGCGGATCACGAGGTCAGGAGATCGAGACCATCCTGGCTAACACGGTGAAACCCCCTCTCTACTAAAAATACAAAAAATTAGCCGGGTGTGGTGGCGGGCGCCTGTAGTCCCAGCTACTCGGGAGGCTGAGGCAAGAGAATCACAGGAACCCAGGAGACCGAGGTTGCAGTGAGCCGAGATCGCGCCACTGCATTCCAACCTGGGCGACAGAGCGAGACTCCGTCTCAAAAAAGAAAAGAAAAGAAAAAAAAAAAATTAAAGAGTTTGAGCAAACAGCGATTCATGAATGAGAAACACCCAATCATGACTTTTGGTTTGTTACCAAAAAACTTTAAGAAGAATTGCATTTTGTTAACGGTGGAGGGTGTCCAGGTTCTTGGCGTCTTGAACAAAGAATTGGACAAAACGCATAAAACAAGGAAGGAATGAAGGGATTTAACACTCCACAGTGTGCGAGCGGGGCCGAGCACAGGGGCTCAAAGGCCGCATTACAGAATTTTTGGGAGTTTACCCCCTGGAGGATTCCATTGGTTACTTGGGGTATGCCCTATGTCAAAGGAGAGGATGAAGTAAAGTTATAAAATCATTTACTGGCCGGGCGCGGTGGCTCAAGCCTGTAATCCCAGCACTTTGGGAGGCCGAGACGGGCAGATCACGAGGTCAGGAGATCGAGACCATCCTGGCTAACACGGTGAAACCCCGTCTCTACTAAAAAATACAAAAACCTAGCCGGGCGAGGTGGCGGGCGCCTGTAGTCCCAGCTGCTCCGGAAGCTGAGGCAGGAGAATGGTATAAACCCGGGAGGCGGAGCTTGCAGTGAGCTGAGATCCAGCCACTGCACTCCAGCCTGGGCGACAGAGCGAGACTCCGTCTAAAAAAAAAAAAAAAAAAAAAAAATCATTTACTTGGCTTAAGCCCTATGGAGTGGGTATTTCCTTTCATAGCTGAAGTGTGAATAGGCCTTATGTTCCCTGCCTGCAGACCCTATTTTCCTGCCTCAACTTGAGTTTGATTTTGGTGTCCTTAGGTAATTACTTATGGCACTAAACACACTTCAATCTAATTGCTGCTGCTTTAAATTTGTTCCCACTACCTATAGGGACTGGCTTCCTCCTGCATTTTCCTAATCTATGGGATGCAGGGTCTCAAATCCTTCACCCTGCTACCCCACTTAACTCTTCAGTGGTTTGCAGTAACATCTTAAATGTTCAATTACTTTCCTGCATCTCCAAAAATTAACTCCCCTTCTCCAACTCACAGTATTATCAACTTTCTTTTTTTTTTTTTGAGACAGAGTTTCACTCTTGTTGCCCAGGCTGGAATGCAATGGCACCATCTCGCCTCATTGCAACCTCCGCCTCCTGGGTTCAAGCGAGTCTCCTGCCTCAGCCTCCTGTATCAACTTTCTTTATTGTATAGTATATTTCTTCATCCTTTCTTTCACATAGATGCAGTATTTTAGTGGTTTGTCATCTTTTCACAAGGTCATGGATGACTCTTTTTAAAATATTTGTGTTCTGTTTCTGAACATTTCACGTTAACAGGAAAATAGAGAATAACAACTTGATACTCCAGTGAAAAACCCCTGTTCCTCTCCTCTTATCTTGTAAGGCACAGACACCATCTCAGAATGTCTTTGGGTTGTTTCCTTTTTTGTTTGTTTGTTTTGGTTTTTTTTTTGAGACAGAGTCTCGCTCTGTCGCCTAGGCTAGAGTGAAGTGGCACGGTCTTGGCTCACTGCAACCTCCGCTTCCCAGGTTCAGGTGATTCTCCTGCCCTCAGCCTCCCGAGCAGCTGGGTTTACAGGTATGCGCCACCACAGCCGGCTAATTTTTTTGTATTTTTAGTAGAGATGGGTTTTCACCATGTTGGTCAGGCTGGTCTTGAACTCCTGACCTCAAATGATCTGCTCGACTCAGCCTTCCAAAGTGCTGGGATTACAGGCGTGAGCCACCACGCCTGGCCTGTTTCCTTTTTGAAAACTTTACAGGGTGATGTGTCTTCAGGAGTCCCAGTCTATCTTTTCCTGGTCCTGGGTTTCAGAACCGTCTGGGGCTGAGCCAAAATGCCCACAGCTTCCATCCCTCCTGGCCTATTGAATATCAGCCCCTGGGTCAATCCTCCCAGAGGAGGGTGTGGGGCCTCCCAAAGGAGCAGCTGAATTTCCCAAATGGGAGGAGACTCCTGGTACACTCTTCATCTAGATAGCCAACCCCTTGGGATGCTCAGTTTTTCTCCCCCAGTCCCAGCTTCCATTAGTTGGAGACACATAGCTGGTCAGCCAGTTGGATGTTGCTATTAAGAGAGAGGTGTAGGTTAGGAGAGTTACAGCAGAGTCATCTCAACAAAGCCATGACATAACAGTGCATTCCTCACAATCCCAGAGAGATGAGGGCAGCATGCCTTGCAGGGCAACACAGAGTGAGGGGAACATCCAGGATGCAGATTCAGCCAGCAGGTGGGGAGAAAGACAGACAGGGACCTTTGGGCCAGAGTTTTTCTTGGGGTCCAAGGAGGTTTCTCTCAGGGAGTTGTTTCTGGTAGATTTAGAGCAAGCAGGTGCTAGTTCTGTGAAGTCAGGCTCTGATTAAGAAGTGGTCTATGCCATCCATGTGGTTGTAAGGGTAAGTGGGGCAAGTCAAGTTGATGTATGAAGCTGTTCCACAGTGAGGTGGTCACCAGGAGGCAGCCATGTAAGTCACATATGTGGGTTAAGCACATGCAGGAACTGGGAGGAGGTGGAGAACTGGGAACTGTTGAGGTCGAGTGCAGCTTTCTTTTTCTTCTTCTTCTTCTTTTTTTTTTCTGCGACAGTTTTCCTTTGTCGCCCAGGCTGGAGTGAAGTGGCACTCTCTCAGCTCTCTGCAACCGCCGCTTCCCGGGTTCAAGCAATTCTCCTGCCTCAGCCTCCCGAGTAGCTAGGATTACAGGCACGCACACACCCGGCTAATTTTTGTACTTTTTAGTAGAGAGGGAGTTTCACCATATTCGCCAGACTCTTTACCAGACTCCTCACCTGAAGTGATCGGCCTGCCTTGGCCTCCCAAAGTGCTGGGATTACAGGTGTGAGCCACTACACCTGGCTTGAGTGCAGGTTTTTTCTGTTATAAGAAAGTGAAACCCATAATGAAAATGCATGGTAAGGTGACATAAGAACTCATGATAACAGGCAACTCTAGAAGTAATTCATGTGGAGATGATGGGCCAAAGATTGATTGTTCTCCTGTAGATAACCATCTGTCCTTGTCCCTGTTAAGTGAGGACCACTTGCATAATTGGCTGGTGATACCTGCTTTGTCATGGTTTCACTGTTTTCAGAATCTGCTGTTTTCTATTAAGTCTATCTTTCTATCTGTTAATACCATTTTCTCTTGATTAGTATAGATTTTATTTATTTTATTTTATTATTTTTTTTTTCAAGACAGAGTTTCACTCTTGTTGCCCAGGCTGTAGTGCAATGGCGCAATCTCAGCTCACTGCAACCTCCACCTCCCGGGTTCAAGTGATTCTCCTGCCTCAGCCTCCCAAGTAGCTGGAATTACAGGCATGTGCCACCATGCCCAGCTGTGTTTTTTGTTTTTTGTTTTTTGTTTTTTTAAATAGAGACAGGGTTTCTCCGTGTTGGTCAGGTTGGTCTCGAACTCCCGACCTCAGGTGATCCACCCGCCTCGGCCTCCTAAAGTGCTGGGATTACAGGTGTGAGCCACTGCGCCTGGCCTATTTATTTTATTATTATTTTTTTTGAGATGGAGTCTTGCTTTGTTGCCTAGGCTGGAGTGCGGTGACGCAGTCTCAGCCCACTGCAACCTCTACCTCCTGGGTTCAAGCCCTTCTCCTACCTCAGCCTCTCGAGTAGCTGGGACTACAGGCGCCCACCACCATGCCTGGCTGATTTTTATATTTTTAGTAGAGACGGGGTTTCTCCATGTTGGCCAGGCTGGTCTCAAACTCCTGACCTCAGGTGATCTGCCTGCCTCAGCCTCCCAGAGTGCTGGGATTACAGGCGTGAGCCACCGCGCCTGGCCGAAGACCCTCTCTCTTAACAAAAAAAGGCTTGGTTTGTGGGAGAACATGAGTATAGACAGAAAGTAAGAGTTGTGATGACTAAGTCATGGGATAAATGTTTGGAGTCCACAGTATCATGGGAACTTCGTAGGAATAAAGAATAAGCCTCCAGGGCTGTTAGTCTTACCTGTCCTCCTTTACATGTGTGAGATGTTTCAGGATTCTGTGGCCTTTGAGGATGTGGCTGTGAGCTTCACCCAGGAAGAGTGGGCTTTGCTGGATCCTTCCCAGAAGAATCTCTACAGGGATGTTATGCAGGAAACCTTCAAGAACCTGACCTCTGTAGGTAAGAATGACAATATTACTTCCCAGTGAATTAGAGAACAAATGTTTCTAGCTCATCAATGCTGTTCATTGATTTGGAACATGGACAGAAAATACTTTGATGAATAAATCAGACATGGCTACCATGTACCATGAATACAGAATCTAATTATTTTAAAATAAATTCATACTAATTCTGGATCTGTGTTTTCTCTGGGTCTGTGTTTTAGGAAAAACATGGAAAATTCAGAACATGGAAGATAAGTACAAAAATCCCAGGAGAAATCTAAGGTAATTTTGTCTCACAAGACAAGACAATGCCTCTAGAAAATCTTAAAATGTGAGAAAATATTAAAAAGAAGCAAAAGAGCCGGGTACAGTGGCTCACACCTGTAATCCCAGCACTTTGGGAGGCCAAGGCAGGTGGATCACGAGGTCAGGAGATCGAGACCATCCTGGCTAACACGGTGAAACCCCGCCTCTACTAAAAATACAAAAATTCCCGGGCGCAGTGGCTCAAGCCTGTAATCCCAGCACTTTGGGAGGCTGAGACGAGCGGATCATGAGGTCACAAGATCAAGACCAACCTGGCTAACACGGTGAAACCCCGTCTCTACTAAAAATACAAAAAACTAGCCGGGTGAGGTGGCGGGCGCCTGTAGTCTCAGCTACTCGGGAGGCTGAGGCAGGAGAGTGGCGTGAACCCGGGAGGCGGAGCTTGCAGTGAGCTGAGATCCGGCCACTGCACTCCAGCCTGGGCGACAGAGCGAGACTCCGTCTCAAAAATAAATAAATAAATAAAAAATAAAAATAAAAATAAAAATACAAAAATTACCCAGGCGTGGTGGCAGGCACTTGTAGTCCCAGCTACTCGGGAGGCTAGGCAGGAGAATGGCGTGAACCCAGGAGGCGGAGCTTGCAGTGAGCCGAGATCACGCCACTGCACTCAAACCTGGGCGATAGAGTGAGACTCCATCTCAAAAAAAAAAAAAAAGCAAAAGAAATAAACCCAGTATCAAATTTATGTATTCATAGAAAGTTTTCCTAAAAACATATGTTTAAATGTAACATAGGCTGGGCTGGGCACTGTTGCTCATAACCAAAATCCCAGTCCTTTGGGGCATTCAGACCAAAGGATGGCTGGAGGCCAGGAGGTTGAGGCTGCAGTGAGCCATGATGGTATCACTGCACTCCAATTTGGACAACAGGGTGAGTTGTAACCCCAGCTCAAAAAAAAAGACGCACATGTTTAGTATTTGTAAAATAGTTTACTTGAAGATAGGATTATGAAGTCCCATAGAAAAACTAATTTTTAAAAAATATATATACCCAGACCATCTTGCAGAGCATATGGTTCATTAATATTCAAACAATTCAGACAGAGCAGAAAGCTGACACTTTGCCAGGCCGTGTTAAAAATGCAAGTGCAATACTTGTTAATGAATATAAATCATGATTTTTTTCTTCTTTTTTGAGACAAGAGTCTCGCTCTGTTTCCCAGGCTGGAGTGGAGTGGTGTGGTTTCAGCTCACTGCAGCTGCCACTGCTTGGGTTCGAGGTATTCTTGTGCCTTAGCATCCCAAGTAGTTGGGATTACAAGCGCATGCCGTCACACCCAGCCAATTTTTGTATTTTTAGTAGAGACAGGGTTTTGCCATGTTGGCCAGGATGATCCCAAACTCCTGGCCTCAAGCCATCTGCCCGCCTCAGCCTCCCATAGTGCTGGGATTACAGGTGTGACACACTGCACCCAGCCAATATAGATCGCTTTTTTTTTTTTTTTTGAGACAGAGTTTTGCGCTTGTCACCCAGGCTGGAGCACAATGGCACTATCTCAGCTCACTGCAACCTCTGTCTCTGGGGTTGAAGCGATTCTCCCACCTCAGCCTCCCGAGTAACTGGGATTACAGGCACCTGCCACCGTGCCCGGCTAATTTTTGCATTTTTAGTAGAGACGGGGTTTCACCATGTTGGCCAGGATGGTCTCGAACTCATGACCTCAGGTGATCCGCCCACCTCAGCCTCTCAAAGGCGTGAGCCACTGTGCCCGGCCCTATACGTCACTTTTAATCAAACCGTTAATAATATGCTTCTTATTTTTCACTGAAGTCTTATGAGAGAGAAACTCTTTGAAAGCAAAGAAAGTCATCACTGTGGAGAAAGCTTCAACCAGATTGCAGATGACATGCTGAACAAGAAAACTCTTCCTGAAGTAATACCGTGTGAAAGCAGTGTGTGTGGAGAAGTTGGCGTGGGTCACTCATCTCTTAATAGGCACATCAGAGCTGACACTGGACACAAGTCTTCTGAGTATCAGGAATATGGAGAGAATCCATATAGAAATAAGGAATGTAAGAAAGCCTTCAGTTATCTTGACTCCTTTCAATCACATGATGAAGCTTGCACTAAAGAGAAACCCTATGATGGTAAAGAATGTGCGGAAACCTTCATTTCCCATTCATGCATTCAAAGACACAAGGTGATGCGCCGTGAAGATGGACCTTATAAATGTAAGTTTTGTGGGAACGCTTTCTTTTTTCTCAGCTTATGTCTTATCCATGAACGAATTCACACTGCTGTGAAACCATATGAGTGTAAACAGTGTGGTAAGGCCTTTACTCGTTCCACTACCCTTCCAATACATGAAAGAACTCACACAGGAGTGAAAGGCGATGCATGTAAGGAATGTGGGAATGCATTCAGTTTTCCTAGTGAAATTCGTAGACATAAAAGGTCTCACGCTGGAGAAAAACCCTATGAGTGTAAGCAATGTGGGAAAGTCTTCATTTCTTTCAGTTCCATTCATTATCATAAGATGACTCACACTGGAGAGAAACCCTATGAATGTAAGCAATGTGGGAAAGCCTTTAGATGTGGCTCACACCTTCAAAAGCATGGAAGGACTCACACTGGAGAGAAACCCTATGAATGTAGGCAATGTGGTAAAGCCTTCAGATGTACCTCGGACCTTCAAAGGCATGAAAAGACACACACTAGTGATAAACCCTATGGATGTAAGCAGTGCGGTAGAGGCTTTAGATGTGCTTCACAACTTCAAATTCATGAAAGGATGCACAGTGGAGAGAAGCCCCATGAATGTAAGGAATGTGGAAAAGTATTCAAGTATTTTTCTTCCTTGCATATACATGAAAGGACGCACACTGGAGAGAAGCCCCATGAATGTAAGCAATGCGGAAAAGCATTCAGGTATTTCTCTTCCTTGCATATACATGAAAGGACACACACTGGAGATAAGCCATATGTGTGTAAGGTCTGTGGCAAAGCCTTCACTTGTTCCAGTTCCATTCGATATCATGAAAGGACTCACACTGGAGAGAAACCCTATCAATGTAAGCACTGCGGTAAGGCCTTTATTTCCAATTACATTCGATATCATG